CGCGGGGAATCGCCGACTTCAGCCCCGCGGTTTCTCCCTCCGGGAATGGGCCCGCCGTTGCGTCGTACGCAGAGAGAGGCTGGACCGGCGAAGTGGAGGAGCTAACCACGGACATCTATATCTTCCTGACTCGGGATGGGACTCACAGGGTCAAGGTGGTCGAACATGGCGGGTGGCCGAGTTGGGTCGACGACTCGACTCTGTATTTCCACAGAAGAAGCGAGGACGGTTGGATTAGCGTGTACCGCGCGATTCTGCAGAAAGCCGGCCCGGTTTCCATCGAGTCAGTGACGATTCAACGAGTCACCCCACCGAACCTCCACGCGTTCACACCCGCCACGTCGCCCAACAATCACGAGTTCATCGCGGTGGCGACTCGGAGACCCGGCGACGAATACCGTCACGTGGAGCTGTTCGACCTGAGGAAGAACAAGTTCATCGAGTTGACTCGCCTGGTGTCTCCGGCGAGTCACCACTTCAACCCGTTTCTCTCCCCCGACTCGACCCGAGTCGGGTACCACAGTTGCAGAGGCGAGGCCAATGGATGGAGAAGTCCTCGTCTCTTCCTCGAGAACATCCAAACCACTTCGCCAAAGCTCTCTCTCTTCAGAATCGACGGCTCCTTCCCTACCTTCTCGCCGTCTGGTGACCGTATCGCACACGTCAACATGCCCGGTGTGACCGTGGTCAAGCCCGATGGTTCGGACCGTAGAAAAGTGTTCCCAGGAATGGCGTTCTCGACAGCTTGGGACCCAGTCCAACCGGGGATCGTGTACACGAGCGCTGGCCCGACATTCGCAAAGGAGAGAACCGAGGTGGACGTCATTGCCATCAACGTGGACGCCGATGACCCATCAACCTCCATAAGAAAGCTGACCACAAACGGACAGAACAATGCCTTTCCATGGCCTTCTCCCGACGGGAAACGGATCGTGTTCCGTTCGGGTCGGTCCGGTCACAAGAACCTTTACATCATGGATACCGAAAAAGGGGAAAGCGGTGGCCTTTTCAGGTTAACCGATGGCCCGTGGACTGATACAATGTGTAACTGGTCACCGGATGGAGAATTGATCGCTTTCGCCTCGGACAGGGAAAACCCGGGTTCAGGTAGTTTCGAGCTGTTCTTGATCCATCCTAATGGAACGGGTATGAGGAAACTCATCCAGAGCGGGTCGGGAGGGCGAACGAACCACCCGATCTTCAGCCCGGACGGGCAAACCATCGCATTCACATCTGATTACGGAGCGATCTCGGCGGAGCCAATCTCGAACCCGCATCATTACCAGCCTTACGGAGAGATCTTTACCGTGAAACTCGATGGTTCGGATCTGAGGAGGCTGACACACAACAGCTTCGAAGACGGGACGCCGGCCTGGGCGCCAAAGTTCATCAGCCCCAGGGATGTGGCCTGGCCCAGGATGAACAATTGCATGTTCCGCGATTGCCATTGGCTGAATATAACAACTACTAATACTAAGCCAAAGGGTCTCGGAATTTCATGCTAGTGTGTATCCATAATTATGGCTGTAAGCCTTGAGAATGATGCATATAGATCTGGTCTGCCTGGAATAAGGGAACTTGTTTCTGTTCCTAGCTGTACGCACTCTGTGTATATTGCTACTCTCTTCATCTATAAAAATTTGTCAAACTAGGTATTCTCCTGAAGGTAAACATTGTTTCAACAAACCAAGGATTTATGTACATCAAAAGACAGATATTACCAACGATGTCTAATAGAGTAATGTGTAGCAGTTGCAGAGGAACCCTAGCCCAGGAAGAACTCCGGTGGAACTGAGGCCGGGCAAAACTTCTTTGCAGCAAACTTGTACTGTAAGAACAGAGGTTAACGGTCTGAGGTTATTACCGTATCCCGAGGTTACAACTTGTAAACAAATATCTGTGCTTACTTTGTGCTGACTATACTTCTTCCTCACGGCAGGTACGCTACACGAGTGACGAGTACCATCACGATACAGCCGAAGAAGATCCTTGACACAATCCCTCAGATCTTTGCCACTGTACAACGTGTAATTCCCTAACGTTGAGTTCTGCAGAAAAAAAAAATACACAGAGAGGTTTTGGAGAGAAGCCCTTTTGAGATATGCAATAGTACTATGAGGGCATGCATACCCATGGTTTTCTTGAAGGTTCTAGTATGTATCTTGCCAAGAAAACTGCGGAGGCGGCGACAAGTGAGGGAAGATATTGGAGCATAGCGTAATCGAGGAGGGATAACTCGGCTAGATAACTGGCCAGACACTCTAGCTGTACCGGCAGTACCTGAAAATGACTTATCCGATTGGACATGCCGACAGAATAAACATGGAGAAACTCGATCTGGACATGACAGAGTACCTCGTTTGTTCCCTGAGCAGCTCGAACAAATCGCCTTAGGAAACATTTTGCGGTCGGAGCCGTTATTTCGAACTTTAGGTAGTTCAGAACAGAGGACTCCATCTCCAGAACCTGAAAGAGCAAGAACAAGAACAGGAACGAGTTAAAGATTTACTTATATCAGTAACAAACCACAAGAATCGGACAAGACCATTTCCTCTCGGTCAGGCCATAAAAAGCAGCACAAACCTCGTTCTTGAAGTAAGTGTTGTCAGTGATGTAACAGAACTCCTCCACTTGGGGAGGGCATATCTCCTCGTACTTTCTGGTAATTACAAGTAAAAGCTTCTTGTTAGCATTGCATTGTCTTGTAAAAAAAACGATATTTTTACGACATACAAACTGGGAAATTGTCTGCATTTCTTACGCAGCTATCATCATGCATGCAACACCAAGTAATTGCAGCTTTTGCCTGTTTATCACATTGCCGGAAAGGTACCGATCTATGTAGTTCACCGACAAATACAACGTCTCGGGTATCAGCCTATACTCTTCAGCAACCTGCAGTTTCGCCATTTACCGAAGAAGAAACAGATCAAAGGTAATATCGAAAAGAGAAAACCTTAATGTCTTTCCGAATTTGTCTTAGATCAAATGGATTACCTCCACGAGCCAATCGACCAGTACTGCTCGCATGCCGGCATTGATGTCTTTCTGTATCGTCTCCATGAAATCTAGAGACGGTCTTTTCGCCAGCTTCAGCGAGAAACAACCACCGTCGTCATGCTTAGATGATTCAGAAACAGAGAAAGATTACTGAAAAGAATTCTTGAGATCTAAGCTGTATACCTCGGAAAACCGCAAATGCTTGTATATATCACTAGCATATGCAGCACAAATCTGCGGATCTGTAGATTTGTTGCCCATGATAATGATCTCGTCATTTTTACCGAGACTGCTCGGACACTTCCTCTCGAGAGGATCATCAATGTTGTCCATGTACTCAACTTCTGGGCTCTTGAAAGAGTCGCAGGTGGAAATTGACTCGTCCAGAGAAACCGAATCCAGGTCTGAACGAGCTGGAGACGCGTCCATGGCTGCTCGTGATGAAGAGGGAAGTGGAGGAAGACTAGAGACGGCATCATATGTTCTACAAAAATCCGAATTCGCAGAACCGGTAGCCTTGTAAGGAACCATCGTGTTCGCTTTAGCATTTACTTTGGGAGGAAGATAACTTCGAGGAATTTCTGAATCCTCAGGACGAACTGAATCAGGGTTCGTTGCGTTCTTCGATTGGCAAATCGTGCCTGAAGAATGTACCTTCAGAAACAGAGAACCCAGAGATTATCAAACAGGAAATAATCGAATAAACAAGCAAAACCCTAAAATTTGCAACCACGTATTGATTTTCCGTTGACCTAACAAGAGAGCAGGACAAAGAATGCCAAAAATCAAAATCCAGGGGTTTGCCCACCATTGCAGAGGACGAAGCAGAGCTTCGCGGGCCATTCTTCTGATCGGAGACGTCACCGGAGAAATCACGGCGGTTGGTGATGTCGCCGAGAGGCGCTCGCTTCTTGCCCGCTTCCGTCCGGCGAAACGCACTCTCCTTGACGGGATTCGCCGACAAAGAAGAGGAAGAGGAAGAAGAGTTCCGTTTAGCCGAAGAAGGCATCGTCGAAGAAGAAACGGGAAAACGCAGATTCTTTGTCGACATTGTTACCGGAGAGAATTCACGTTTAGGGCTTCGCTTCTTCTCTGGGAGGGAAAATTCTAGAAACGAAGAATCGCTCCTTTTCTTGGTTCAAATACAAATCACTGGTGAAGAAGACGATGTGTAACGAAAAGGAACAATTTGAACCCTTTTTCTTTTTCTTTTTCTTTTTTCTTTTAATTAATAATTGATTTTGAGGCGGGCAAGGGTGAGATCGTCTGCGACGCAACAATCCATCAGAAAATGCCACGTGGCAAATTCAAGCGTAATAATTGGCTCGTTAAAGTTTGACGAGCACAGGCTTGTCGTAGTAGCAGATAAGATCACTTTTTTAATTCGAATTTGGATAACAAATTTAACAGCCCAGAGTCAAAGTTCACAATAAAGTTGAAGCCCAAAAGTCCCGAAAAAAGCAACAAATGAACAAACTTGTAGATTTTTTTTTTAACAATATGCATATATTTGTTATTTTTAATTTTTTATTACACTTGTTTAAAAAGGATTAGTGATATATTAGGAAACTTATCAGGATAGATATTCTTTTTTTCTTGGTTTATCAATTTTATAAGATTTTTCAATTTTTAAAAAAATTATATTCATTTAATTTTTAATAGAATTTTTATATGCTTGAGTTTTTATTAAAAAGCGATTTAAAAAATTTCGTAAAAATGTTTATATTTAACAATCTTCATTTTATTTTAATTTTTCATATTTAATTCATTAAAACTTTTCTATTACTTAATATTTCAAATGTGTATAGCATGAGATTATAAATATATTTAAGAGGAAAAAAAGGGAAAACCCGAATAAATCGTCAACAAAGCGAACCTTCTTATCGATTCCGAGGCGTCTAAACCTTCTGAACGAGCCGGAGAGTTCCGATGCGAGGAAAAAAAACACGCGCCTTTAAGTGCCATCTCCCCCCACGAGCAAAAATAAGTTCCCAAGCAAACGCAAGAGAGAAAGAGGGAGAAGAAATGGCGCCAGTTCTTCAGAGTTCGCAGCCATGGGTCGAGAAATAGTACGGTCTCTCGCAGGAACTGCTTTCTCGCTTACTCTTTTGCCTTGTCGAAACCGATCTCTTATCGTTCGTTTTCCGGTATTTTCGTCAGCCGACCAAAGCAGGTGAAGGACGTAGCTCACCAGGACGAGGTGGTTCGAGTCCTCACCAACACTCTCGAGACCACAAATGTAATGTCAATGGACCCATTTTTTTATCTGGGATGATTCATGGGGATCCCTAGATTTGAAATTTTGAATTTGAATTTTGGGTTTTCAAGGGTGTTCCTTTTTATTTTCCCGGTGAAAGGTTAAACCCTAAACTTTGATTCTGCTTCTGAATCCTGGTTTTTTTTTTATTCTTTTGTTGTTTTGTCTGTAGTGTCCGCACATGCTCTTTTATGGTCCTCCGGGCACTGGAAAGACCACTACTGCGCTTGCAATCGCTCACCAGCTATTTGGGTAATTGACCATTCTATGCCTTTGTGGATTTACTTTTACTTGTTCCGTTGACTGATTTTTCTCAAAAGTGCAAGTTTTGCCAAATGGCATGTTCAAGTTGCTCTTCTTCTGTACAATTCAGCAGTCCTTGATGGGTATTTGATTGATTGATTGATTAGTATCAACGTGCTTGTCTGAGATCTAGTTACCTTTGACCGTAGTGCATATCGGCTTGTGATCCGCGGATATGAAACGTGACTATGTATGCTGAGGACACAGGGTTAACGCTCTCTGGGTTCGCGTGATATATGTTATCCGGATTCGACATGAAATTCCCTGAGCATTATTGCAGACCATTCATTAAGGATGTAGGTAGTCCATTGCTTTGTCACTTTAGAAATGACTGTAAGCACCGGCATTCACGAGGGTCTGGTTTGGAAGAGAAGATCTCAAGGTTTTGGTTTTTGGATTTGGATTTCATCTTCTGTTGAACAACACTGAACTAAATTATGCCTTATTCTCCACGAGTATCTCTGATGAGTTGCCCGCTTTTTCTTTTTCTCTTTCTGATTTAAAGTGGGAGGATTGGTAATGTAGTTTCACTGTGGTTGCTAAACAACTACTGTGGTTTATTTCTTATTTCTTTTTGTGTTATTTCAAGGTTTAACCATGGCTTTGAAAGTTAACCTGAGAGTTTTTGCAGGCCTGAACTCTACAAGTCCAGGGTGTTGGAGCTGAATGCCAGTGATGATAGAGGGATAAATGTTGTCCGGACCAAGATCAAGGATTTTGCTGCTGTCGCTGTTGGTTCTAATCAGCGTCAAGGGTGTGTAAACCGATCTCTTTTCTGCTTCTATGTGCTGCATGTGTTTTCATCTAAGACTCTGCCTCCTATTTGTCATATAGGGCTTATCCTTGTCCATCATTTAAGATTATCATTCTAGATGAAGCTGATTCAATGACTGAAGATGCTCAGGTACACGTGAATCTAATTACTCATCATTTGTTAAACTCAGATTGATATGTGCACGCCACTCTCATCTCTTTTGTACTCATTATGCAGAATGCACTAAGACGCACTATGGAGACTTACTCTAAAGTTACTAGGTTCTTTTTCATATGTAATTATATTAGCAGGTATGCTCATTTGCCTTGGTTGTATTCCATTCTTTTGCATTTCTCACTCACTCATTCCACTTTTTAACCTGAAGATGCAAGATGATTGCTTCTGGTTTCTTAGCATTGCTCTTAACTTACTCTTAGATAGATTATAAGGAAGAGTGACCTGGAGAGGTGTCACCGCAACTTAATTTATAATTAACATCATCTCATAGAGGTGGACTATGAAGGTTTGCAAATTTGATGGCTCATTTCTCTTTCTTTCCATGTCTTTAAGGATCATAGAGCCTCTGGCTTCAAGATGTGCAAAGTTCAGGTTCAAACCTCTTTCCGAAGAAGTCATGGGTAGCCGTGTATCGCACATTTGTAAGGAAGAAGGTCTCTACCTTGACGGAGAGGTATGGGCATATTACTCTTAAAATCTCATCTTACAAGCTAAGTTTAGTAAAATCTTGCTTACACTAGCTATTGCTCATATAGGCTCTTTCAACTTTGAGCTCCATATCGCAAGGTGATCTCCGTCGGGCCATCACTTACCTGCAGGTAAGTTTATAAACTTCATCTGAAATATGCTTTATTGGACATAGTTCTCTGCTCATGTGGAAATATTCAAATATCAATCAATCTCACTGGCGAATATTTCAGAGTGCTGCTCGATTGTTTGGATCTACAATTACTTCAAAGGACCTTCTAGGTGTTTCCGGGGTAAGAATGAAGAATAACCCTGTTTCAGAGTAATCCGTCAAATTCTGTTATCGCTCAGCAAGCATCCACCCTTCAGGTCGTCCCTCCGGAGGTAGTCAAGGGATTTTTTGTAGCTTGCAAAAGTGGCAACTTCGATATAGCGAACAAAGAAGTAGACAATATAGTTGCGGAAGGATACCCGGCTTCTCAGATCATTAATCAGGTGACTATGTACATCCTCAATCCTAGTATTGCCTACATGCGCAAGTCTCTTGGCTTCAGTTACGCTACTTTCTAACTCAAATTCTCTGTCAGTTATTTGACTTGGTTGCAGATGCTGATGACATATCAGATGAGCAGAAGGCTAGAATCTGCAAGAGTCTAGCTGAAACAGATAAGGTAGGCTATATATATCAAACTATACAATTTCGGGTACAAATTCATGCTTCATGATCATTGGATCTCTTTTCATTTACAATGGTTAAAAGACCTTTCCTTTTTTCTTGCTCTTGTGAATCTCCAGCGTCTGGTAGATGGAGCAGATGAGTACTTGCAGCTACTGGATGTGGCAAGCAATACGATCCGTTCGCTCTCTGAGATGTCCCAAGACTGAGCTTGTCTTAAAGTTTGGATTTTTCCAAACATTTGCCAAAGTTCTGGTAAAACTCTAATGTCCCGTTTTAACATTGGAGAATGATGGTTCTGTAGATTGTAGTGATGATACATAATGATGCAAGTCACTTCCTGTTTGAATCCAATCCATGCGTTAACGCCCATGTATGAAAATGGTTTTGAAGTTTCTATTAGACATCCTTATGTCCTTGTCAAAACAAAAAACGACATTTTGTTGTTGCCCATTTAGCGTTTCTTGCAGGGGAAAGATTGTCTCATCATCGTTTGGAAAATTTTGTTGAAAATTCGATCAAAATGTTAAAAAAATGTTTCTTTTGATTATTAATGTCAGTGGACAGCTTCTGCATGTCTTTGTTAATGACAACTAATTGGCATTATATAAAAAATACCCTTACTTTGCTATTTCTACCTCAAGAACTACCCATGTGACCAATGTGACCGAAATATAGTATGGTCACATTTTGATTTTATAAATTATAACGTTAAATTTATGATGGTCATACTAATTCATTATGTTCATACCTTGTATATCTTACTAATCATTTGATTAAAACATCTTAAATTTAACGTTATGAACAATGGAATCAATATGTGATCATATTATATTTCGTTCACATTGATCACATGGTCACAAGGGTAGGTGTTGAAGTAGAAATAACAAAATAAGGGTATTTTTGATAATGCCCTGCAAAGAAAATGTCGATTCCTTTACCAGTTACAACCAATTCATTACACTAAACTCTTTCTGAAGAAAAAAAGCTTATTCAAAAATTGTTAAGTATTGTTAAAAAAAAAAGTAAAAAATAAAAACATAGAAACACAATTCAAAAAAAGAAAGTTGGATTCTCCAATTTGGTATGTATGTTTTGAATACATCTGATCTGGATGGTAAATGAATATTATATATCAGAGTTTTTTGGCACATTTGTTGATATTTTAATTTTGATTTTCGTGTGTTTTGGGGCAATTTCTTTTCTCTTTTTTGTTTTTGGCGTGTGCTTTGGTTTCAATAATATAATTCCAATATTTTCTTCTCTTTGAAATTTCATGAATGAAAGATAAGATTGTGGGCCAGAATTTGCTTAGTCAAACACACTGACAAATCATAAACCTCCCTAATATCTCCCGCCACCAACTCTGCCCGTCTTAATCCTCTCTCTCTCACCTATACACACACACACACACACATATATACCAGTCTGCATCTAAAGTTAACTCAAGAAACTAGGTCTTTGCCTCTCTCCTCCTCTTCTTCTTCAGAAAGTGTTTTTTTTTACTGTAACAGAGAGCTGTAACAATGGCGATAACAGACGACTCATTCAAGAGACCAGGAGCAGTTCCCTTCAGCTGGGAGATCCGACCAGGCGTTCCCAAAACCCCATCTCCCCATCCCGACAACCTTAACCATCTCCGCCTCTCATCCTCGCCTCAGCCTCTCCATCCTCCTCCTCCGCCGCCGGCGTTGTCCGAGCGGTGGCTGCTCCTGCGCCCGAACCGGGTCCGACCCGGATGTTTCCCGCCATCTCTGTTTCGATTGAGGAAGAGTAGGAGAAAGACGGTGCCGAGGTTGGATCCTGAGTACGGCTCCGACACGGAGACTGTATCGAGTCGGAGATCAATTTTTCCGATGTGGGATTCGCCGAAATCGTTGTTCTCGTCCAACAGTTTCTCGTCTATTTCATTATTGGCTCGTGATTCCGCTTCTTAGCGCGGATCCGACAATAAAACTACAGACTTTTCAGTTCCTCAAAGTTCGGAAGAAAGCAAACTGCTCAAGTTTTGTTTATATATTCAATAATGCCATTTAGAGTTTGCGTTTCGGTCTTTTCCTATCTAAAGTTTTTTTCCTTCTTTTTGGGATTGTATTGTGCGTGATGATGTATTATAATACATTTTAAGCGATCTAAGATTTTGAAATGCAGGGTCGGAAATGCAATTTTGAAACGTACATGCCTAATTGTAAATTTTGGAAAACACTGAGGATCAATTTGTAAATAACCTTAACTGTAACATCGACATTGACACTGTCACTTGCTATGAAATTCGTACTTGAGAACACAGCTAAAGGAAGAGGAGATGAAACCGTCGCATCAGCTATGCAGCCGAATCATCGATCAGATCCTCACCGCCATGATCCAGAACCGTCCCTTCGACGCCGTTCTCGCTTCATCGACGGTCACGAATCCGTGGACCCATGGTCTCGTCTCCGACGTTCTCCGATCCATCCCCAGATTCTTCTTCCTCTCACCGAGATCCATCGGCCGGCAAAAGGGTTTTCGCCGGCGGTCTCCGTTGAAGCAGAGGAACCTCCGGGACGAATCCGAACGTCGCCGTTCCAATGCTCTCGTCCTGGGTCCCGGTGCTTATAGAGATCCGGCGAGAGTCTCTCTCGGGTTGCAGAAAGCAATGGAGTTCTTCCTCTGGGTCGAGAACCATTTCGGGTTCGATCACAACGAGATCACTTGCAGAGAGATGGGTTGCGTACTGATCAGAGGGAACGATTTGAAGGGTCTATGGGAGTTTCTCGGGCGAATCTCCGGCAGAGAGAAGGCAGAAAGAGGCGAAATCACTACAGCGTGTGTAACGTGTTTGATGAAATGTCTGGGAGAAGAAGGTTTCGTCAAAGAGGCATTGGCTTTGTTCTACAGGATGAAGCAATACCATTGCAAACCAGACGTTTATGCTTACAACACAATGATCCACGCTCTTTGTAGAATCGGGAATTTCAAAAAGGCGAGGTTTTTGCTCGAGCAGATGGAGTTACCGGGATTTCGATGCCCACCAGACACCTACACCTACACGATCCTGATAAGCTCCTACTGTAAGTTCAGTATGCAAACAGGTTGCAGAAAGGCGATAAGGAGAAGAATGTGGGAGGCAAATCGCATGTTTCGGGAGATGCTGTTCAAGGGTTTTGTCCCGGACATTGTAACTTACAACTGCCTGATCGATGGCTGTTGCAAAACGAACAGAACCGGTCGGGCTATGGAGTTGTTTGAAGATATGAAGAAGAGGGGGTGTGTACCCAACCGGGTAACGTATACTTCCTTCGTAAGGTATTACAGTGTTACCGGTGAGATCGACCGAGCGATTGAGATGATGAAGACAATGAAGGAGATGGGCCATGGTGTTCCGGGCACGAGCACATATACACCACTCATACATGCTCTGATCGAAGCGAACAGGGCATCCGAGGCTCGGGATTTACTGGTGGAGATGGTGGAAGATGGATTGATTCCGAGAGAGTATACGTATAATCTTGTATTGGATGCTCTCAGCCCGGAAGAAATGGTGGATTCGCTTGATGGCAGGCTGCATAAACGAATAAGGGAAGGGATAGAACAGAGATGTAGGGGAGTGATGAAGATCAAACCCATCATGGCTCAGAAGCAATTGGTGTAAGATTTGATCTTTTGAATGCTAAGTGATCTTAGATTCGATTCAATATAGAAGAAAAATGAAATGGTTGTCAGGGTCCACAAGAGGGGTTTGCATGAAGGATGATATAAATAGATACAGACACTAACTAAACTACAAGATGTTTTACAATCTGCTGTCTCAAAAGCTGTAATAACTTAACATTTTGGCTTAAAGGAGAAGACAGAATGAAACAAGCCGCAGATATGGTAAAGAGATGAGTTCTCAGTTTATGCCAGAGCTAGAGCCAGTGGAAGATCTAACTATCGGGTGAGTAAACGAAGAAGGTTGATTGCCAGGAGCTGCAACGGAGTTATTACCTAAGTTGTTCCCGAACATGATGTTTGGAGAAGCAGTTGAAGTTGCATTTGTCTGAATGGCGTTGAGAGGTAATCTCGGGCCAAGTGAGAAAGCTGACTGTTGGCGTGCCATGAATTGCATCTGAGGGTGAATTTGTTGCAGGTTGTTACTGAATCCCGGGATGCTCGGGTGAGAAGAGGAAGAAGCTGTTAGTTGTTGTTGTTGTTGCTGCTGCTGCCTCGGAGTGCTGCTGTTGTTGTTGTTCATGAAACTGTTGTTAGCTATGGATGGAGGCATACCGGGAAGATTGTTTGCCGTTGGCGAGATTCCTCCGGGTGATCTGAATCTTGTGGAGAGCATACGGGCTCGTTCAGCAGCAAATCTCTGACGGGTTTTCTCTACTTGTTCGCATTCTTTCATCAGCAAGGTCTCGATTTCTGCAAATTGTTTCAGCTTCAGCTCCATCCTCTTCAGCTGTGGGATGGCAAAAACAGATGAGGTTTATGCAGGTAAGTCATTGTGTCGCTTTCCAGTTCAGTTACACATGGGGTTCCCCACATAAAAAGATTGTCACTTGATAGAATCAGTAAGATTCAATATTCATAATACCCAACAAGCATGAAATTTCGACTTGTAGCTTGACATATAATTAAAGGGCAATGGCGAGATAAATACCTGGTGATTAACGATATTTGCAGAGAGCCTTTGGATTTCGCGTTCTTCGTGATCAGCAAACAGTTTTGCTTTTGTTGCCGCGGCTGCTAGGCCAGCTCTTACTGCCACCATAATCTTATCCTGTGGCAATGGAGTTGCTTCAGCTCCATTCTGACATGATGTTGTATGTGACCTTGAGTTTTCTTTTACAACCAAAACGTATGAAAATATTCAAGATTAGCCCGGATGAAGGACCCGAAAAGGGATTTGCTACAGAACGCGAAGATCAAGCATTGCCTACCATCTTGCTGCAGATTTTCTCCATGAGACAAATTGGCTTCTCTACCTTGCAGGCCCTTGGAATTCATCCTAGATAGGTTAAGGAGAAAATTCAGACAGTGTACTGGACTTGTAAGGAATAATTGTGTCCCAACTATGATCTATAGATGTTCACTATGTTATTCATGCCTTTCTTGTTTTTCCAGTTTTCTTCAACATTTCAAGTGGACATTGCATTTTTGTTGTAATTTACAGGCAAAAAAACATCAATACAGAACTATACAATTCATATGTTCATCCTAATTGCAGACTACCAAAGGCTTATACCCATTTCCAGCTAAAGCTACAGCAAAATGAATGAAGAAACAACCTTTAATGGCGTAAAATGGTTATTGAAAACGATTCAGATTTTGTACACCAACCTATCATCCTCGGAAAATGCTGCCAGAGAAGCGTGGGCGCAGGAGGCAGCAATTCGAGGTCCAACAGCAGATGCCAGAAAGGCAACCTATAATGTTTTCCATTATCAGCCTCCATAAACTACTCATAGAGAGACTATGTCTAGATCAGCTATTTCAAAATGGTTGGACCATGCAACATGAAGAGTGTAAGGAAAAAGAAAATAACATATGAAATCTGCAAAAAGAAAACGAAAAAGAAGTCACTGACCAATGCCATAACCGGATTTGGAGACTTTACAAAAGGAAGATCGATGTCGATATCAAAACCCTGATCAGACGGTCCTGCGGTGGCATATTGATAGTGAGCATGAACATATCAAGGCATACACATACTTCATAGAGGCCATCAAAAGTATTGTTATCATTGTTTAGGTCGAAGAAAAGCACCTGGTAATTCCCCATTTGAATCTGTTCCTCTTTGATCATATCCATTTGTCGAATGTGCTGGTTTTGTGGTTATACCCGGAACCTCAACATTATCCAAAAGACCGTCCTCTACAGGTAGTCGGAGAAAATGAAGGATGCATTGAGCTTTTGATTTGGAGCCAACATGCTCCGCAATCTCGATCCAATTTTCATGATAGAGTTCCACAGCTTCGAGAAGCAAAAGGGTTTCTTGATCGGTCCAATTATCTCCATCTGGATCACCATAATCTTTTGCTGGATCTACCCTTATGAAATCGATACAAGAATGCCCAATAACAAATTTTCCATGGTGAAAGCAATCGGCACATAAGAGTACATCCCCCTGTCAAGTTGAGAAAACTTTAGACCATAAGGTTTAAATATCAGAAGTGTGCAAGATAGACTTTATACGAGACACCTAAAAAATTGCAGAAGAGAATTATAAAAAAAAAAAACAGGTATTGGAAATTAGGGAGAATGCAAGCTATGTATGTACCTTCTTTTGAGATTGAAAATACAAGGTTGGGAGAGGACGAGAGCAATGACTGCAATGAATTTCACAAAGGTGCTCACGAATTCGGCTGTCCAAGTCAGAGGAGTCTCCATCACGACACGGAAAAGATGAATAGACCTCACCCGCCTTGTGTCTACATTTGGGTTTGTCAAATTTGATCAAACTGTCAATAGATTTTAGAGCAGAGGACGGCACGTGAACCTCGCCATTTGCATCCTCCCTTACACATGATACATCATCACTAGAAGAATCAGGGTTACTCTCAGTAGTGGCACAATAATTGATTATTCCCCAGTGATCAAGAAAACGGAAAACCCGTGCTAAATCTTCATCGTCAATATCATCTACCAATCCTTCACAATCAGATAACAGGAGTCTCTTTTCTGGATCGTTCATATAATTTGCAACAATGGAGTTTCTGAACTCCATATACTTTTCTGGTGTATGATTTGGAGATTTTCCAGAGAAGAAATGTGGAACCACTTGCCTCTCAAGCCGATTGACAGTATCTGGTGCAAACCAATCTGCTCCCATTTTAAAAACCAATAGTTAGTCAATAATTTCGAAACATTTAGAAAGAAATGATCATAAGCTTAGAAGTTAAAGCAAATGAGGGTAATCAAATACATTTGAACCCATATGGAGTTGAGGTCAAGCCATTAGGTACACTATTAGAACAGAGAGCAAGCAAGGATATCAAATAACTGTTCATCATGAATAAACATCTCATCTGATGCTTTGGGGATATGGCAAATAGTTGCCATAGACTAGGTCCGCTAGGAACCGGGAACAGGATACAACCATGGAAATAACAAATTTAAGCATTTCAAGAGCAGACCGGCATAATGCCCTTTGAGATTGCATTTCCAAACCCATACGCTTTCGCAAATTGCTCATACCCTTGAATTGACTTACTCGAAGTCGAAAACAGACTAGATAAAAGGCTACATAACCAATATAAGTGATATTCAAGATCCATCACAGGGTATATACTAATTTACTCATACCAAACAGCAAATCTACTTGGAACTGAGACCACTAAAGACATCAAGCTTCCATTCCAACACCCAAAAAACAAATCAATTTCAAGCCTTTGAAGATGATCATACGAACCTGAATGCATAGGCACCACATGAACCAGTTCCCCGAACCGTTTGGCAACTCCTTCTCCTTCCATAATAGGAGGAGGAGAGATGACATAAGCAGAAGACGACCCATCATTCCTCTCAGGATCAAACCCAGGAGAATCCGCCGGCACAGAAGACAGCGCCTGAAGCTGTCCGTACGAGACATTCTCCAGAGCCGGTAGCGAAGAGTGACCCTTGGTCTCCCCGACCAGACCTGCCCTCTCCGCTGCCGCAACCGCTGAGATGGACGGATGCGGCCGAATCACGCCGCGCCTGACCACCGCCGGAAAATCCGAGAGACGGGTACCGCTTTCCTCGAGCACCAATGGCTTCTATCCCTACGTAAATTGGATCTCCAGGATGCAATTGATGAGCTGTGTACATTACCGGGTGTTGGTCCGAAGGTTGCAGCATGCATAGCTCTGTTTTCTCTTGACCAGCATAGCGCCATTCCCGTTGACACGCATGTCTGGAAGGTAAAGGCCCCCAATAAGATCGTGTGTCTACCCGAAGCTTCATTTGGTATTCCAGTTCTGCAGCGGCGGCTCCTCCGCCGCGTTATCGACATCGTACGCATCATCGTTGTTGTTATTTTCCTCCTCCTCGTCTTCCACTTCGTCCTCCTCCTGCTTCGGCTTCCTCGCCGCCAATCCGCCTCGCCTCCTCCGCTTCCATTTCCCTCGCCTCTCTGCTACCACAAACCCAACGGATCTCAATTCACAAAAATTCGCAGACTTTATCTCATCGCACACACGATCCACAGAGAGAGATTCGAATTGAACTTCAAATTTGAATTCCGCGAGGGAACAAGATTGAAACCCATTGAGCGAGAGAGATACAATAATCAAGTGGGTTTCGCAATTTACCTTCAGAAGCTGGCATTCTCGTGGAAGTCAAAGATAGGTGTGGGGTCTGTGATTGGTGGGTATAGGATCAAAGCAAAGAGACGAAGCTCTCTCTCTCTCTCTCTCTCACAGCTCCTTTTTTTTTTTTTTTTTTTTTTTTTGCACCCTACTCTCTTTTTTTCATTTGTTTGCTTTAAGCCCTATTTCTTTAGTAACTCCGGAACGACATAATCTGCTTTACCAAACAGAGGCTTTAAAAAAACGATATCTTCATGTAAATTCCATTGTCCGGTTTGGTATTCACAATTTCGGTTCGATTTGGAAAACCGAATTAAACCGGACTGTGATACATGAAATATCAAATCCTCAGCGCAACGCAAAGGTCATTCCCTTGACGGCGATGAAGAGACCCCGGACTTCGCCGTCGCTCTCCGTGCCGGGATATCCGCCACCGCCGTCACCTCCGGTGACGCCGGTCCCAAGTCAAAAGCTCTACAGAACAGGGAAACCTAAGTGGTTCACGTTGAAACTCGACCGATCGGAGCTCTCGCTGCCGTTAACCTTCCCTACCGGTCAAACTTTCCGGTGGAAGCAGACCGGAGAGATTCAGTTCACCGGAGCGATTGGGCCCCACCTCGTCTCTCTCCGCCACCTGTCTGAAGACGGCGCCGTTTCGTACTGCCTCCACCGCACGGCCGATTCGGCAGCGGCGGAGCGCGCGCTGCTCGATTTCCTCAATGCCGAGATCTCGTTGGCCGAGCTTTGGTCTGGTTTCTCGGAGAAGGATCCTCGGTTCGCTGAGCTGGCGAGGCATCTCCGTGGCGCGCGTGTGCTGAGGCAGGATCCGCTCGAGTGCCTGATGCAGTTCTTGTGCTCGTCGAACAATAACATAGCGAGGATTACAAAGATGGTGGGTTTCATCTCGTCGTTAGGGTTTCATCTGGGTAGCGTTGGTGGATTGGAGTTTCATCAGTTCCCATCATTGGACCGGCTATCCTCGGTTTCAGAGGAAGAGCTTAGAGAGGCTGGTTTTGGATACAGGTGCTTCATCACTTTCCATTTCTGCTTAAACTTCATGCGATTTCTACTTTGTTCTATCTTCATGATCTACTGGTCTTATCCTGGATATTCTCTGCCCGTTGTTGCTTCGTCTCCAAGCAAACGAATTTTAAGGTTTATTGTGTTCAATTAGCCGGATTGGTTTGTGAAAAGTTAATCATCACCAAGAATTGACTGCAAATGGCGGTTGAATGTTGCCTGTTATTTATGCATAAACAGCTATAGGGTATATTCTTTCTGATGCTCTTGCTCTGATCATGTAGAACTTGTTAATTGTTTCAATTTGTAACCGTGGTATCATGCATTTGCTGTTTTATGCTTTGATTTCCACCTTCTCTTACGTCGTTATAGACAGATTATAAGCTTTCTTCTGTGATCTATATTCGCCTTTGGTGATTGCTCGTGTTTTTTTTAAAAACCCATGATTCATAACTTAGGAAGTTGATTAGGTATCTGTAACTTGTACTGATTGTGATCACTGAAGGTTCACATAAACACTGAACAGCTTACGTGTATAGATGTGAGGTCGTGTATGCGGTTATCTTTTTCCGTTCTCAGCTATGTAAACATTGTCTGTTTGTTATTTAGCAATCTAAGATTTTTGAATTGTAACATTATAGTTCAATCTTTGGGTTATCAGAGCCAAATACATAACAGGTACAGTACATGCTTTGCAATCAAAACCCGGTGGCGGCACAGAATGGCTTCTATCCCTACGTAAATTGGATCTCCAGGATGCAATTGATGAGCTGTGTACATTACCGGGTGTTGGTCCGAAGGTTGCAGCATGCATAGCTCTGTTTTCTCTTGACCAGCATAGCGCCATTCCCGTTGACACGCATGTCTGGAAGGTAAAGGCCCCCAATAAGATCGTGTGTCTACCCGAAGCTTCATTTGGTATTCCAGTTTAGTGTATTGTATATGTGCAGCCGATGTTGAAATAGTATCTTGTCGAGGTACATTTCAGGTGTTCTTCTGTAAATACATTGTGAAATGAGATTTGATGATTAAAGATTTTGATTTCTCTGTTTTGGGTTTTTGGATCAGATTGCCACGAGCTACCTGCTACCAGAGCTTGCTGGTGCCAGACTAACGGCTAAACTCTGCAGCCGAGTGGCAGAGGCATTCGTGAGAAAATACGGGGAATATGCCGGTTGGGCACAGACGTTGCTTTTCATCGCGGAATTACCCGCACAAAAAGCTCTACTGCAATCATATTCCCAGTCCATCCAAGAGGATAAGCACATATCTGCAGAAAAAGGAAGGATTTTGAAGCTAGCTGCCATGAAAAACGAAGCCATGACCGTACGGAAAAATGTTTCCGGTCCTTGATTTAGGACCAAATCAGCAACTTGGTCTTGTCCAAGAGCATATATATTGTTGGTTAAGGATGAGACTGTCCTCCTGACTGAGCTTCATGCCCTTAACATGATGTTATGAACTTGGAGTGAATAATGATCTAATAATAGCATTTAGTAAAATTCTTTCTTTATTACATGAAATCTTTAGAAACTATAAACATAACTAATAGTTTAACAAAACAAATTATAAACATAAATAATAGTTTATAGGAACCAAGTTATGAAAGAAGGTCTTTTCTGCAAAATTAAGTTATTTGGGGAGAAAATGCGTATTTGTTAAAGATATAGGCCCTAAATTGTTATTTATCTTTTGGGCCATTGATTTTCAAAATTGCACCATTTCGGCCCAAAAATAAAAGGAATCGCTTGGATTTTCTTCCAAGCCATCGGCAACTTTGCTGTGTTTCGCTGTTCTTCACTTCACATCTGCTTAGATTTCTCCCTCGTTGGAAAAGAAAAAAACCCTCCAAATTCTTCTCTGAAAACCCTAATTTCTCCGATGTCGGTAAGTTCTAACTCTCGGAAACCCTAGTTGTGTTTGTTATTGGCGATGCTTGATGTGTGGTTTTGATTGATTCGGCGATGCAGATCTTCGAGTACAATGGAAGTGCCCTAGTGGCTATGGTCGGGAAGAACTGCTTCGCCATCGCCAGTGATCGGAGGCTCGGTGTCCAGCTTCAGACCATCGCCACCGATTTCCAGAGAATCTACAAGATCCACGACCGTGTCTTCATCGGCCTCTCCGGCCTCGCCACGGATGTCCAGACATTGTAATTTTCTCGTTCAATCATTTCCATGGCTTCTTCTTCTTCCTTGTGTAATTGACAAAATCTAGGGCTCCTTTTTGAAGGTACCAGCGACTTGTGTTCCGCCATAAGCTATACCAGCTTCGGGAAGAGAGAGACATGAAGCCTGAAACTTTCGCCAGCCTTGTTTCCGCAATTCTCTATGAGAAGAGGTTTGTCTGATCAAGTTTCTTTCTTTTTACGGTTTTATATAACAAGTCGATAGTTTAGACAATAGGATGACTGCATTGTCGCAACTTAGGATTGTGTCCGGAGAAGTACAATACTGATTACTGGAAGGGCAGGAAAAGCAAATCTTTTCTCGGAATCATGATTTAGAAGAATGAATTGATTGATCTGTTTCAGATTTGGACCATACTTATGCCAACCTGTGATTGCTGGATTGGGAGAAGATGATAAGCCCTTCATCTGCACTATGGATTCCATTGGAGCCAAGTACGTTTGCATCTTTTCTTACCCAAACCCCTCCATTGGTTTGATACATTATATCTCTTTTCTTGTATTTATGTCATTAGTTTGGTTAGTATAGTTCATGTAATCCCAACACTTTGCTTGTTGAGCTAGAATTTTCTGTGGTTTGGTCGATTTTCCTTTTCCGTGCCTCCTATGGTTCCATGCGCGAATCACGTGGACAGGAAATATCGTTCCTTCTCCTTTCTTCCTTACGTTATTTCCCGAGTTTTTTGCTGTTGTTGCGTGTACATTTTTCCTCTTAGATGAGTTCTGATAATAGTTGGAGTTTTCCTGAACATAAACTGTTGCAAAATCACTGTGTAATTCATTCATTGTTCATTCTTGGACATGATGTTGTTTCAGCCATGGTTAACTAAAAATGAGGAAATGTTAATTAATACTTGCTTTGTTATGACCGTAGGGAGCTAGCTAAAGATTTTGTAGTTTCTGGAACTGCTTCTGAATCACTTTATGGAGCCTGTGAAGCAATGTACAAACCCGATATGGTTCGTCCCTTCCGATACTTTATGTTCTACTGTTTTCTCACCGGATCACTTTAATCCACTTGCTTGTGCTTAGACAACCACTGGTCCATGGTAGTATCTAGAGTTTTAAGGGCTATGTTTTCAAATGTAAAGAATCAGATCCCATAAATTTTCTCTCAGGTCACTCCAAATGGCCTGTGAATTCAATCCCGAAACTCAATCTTGTTGGTTATACTAGCGATGGCGTTCCAATATATTTTAGTGCAAATGAGCAGTGAGAACAGCGTTATAACTTCTGCTGAATTCTCCCAAGACTCTACTGCCTTATATTTTACGCGTATATCATGGAACAACGCATATGAATCAAGATTTGATATTTCTGTTTGTATAACAATTGCAATGTTCAGGAGCCCGAGGAATTGTTCGAGACAATCTCACAAGCACTTCTCTCATCCGTCGACCGTGACTGTCTGAGTGGATGGGGAGGGCATGTCTACGTTGTGTAAGTCCTCGCTCTCATACTTTTTTGCCATCTTTTCAAGACTTGCCCTCGAAAAGAACACATTCTTCTGAAAAAAATCAGGGTTCTATATTCAAGGATAGGCATCCTGGTTTTATAAAACGACATCTTTCCTTTTCGGTTTTGTCCAGAACGCCAACTGAAGTTAGGGAACGAATCCTGAAGGGAAGAATGGATTGATCCGATCCGATCTTTGGTATCGTCTGCCCCGAGTTCATTTCTAAATCTGATTATATATCGCAGAACCCTTCTCCGCGAATAGTTGTGAAATTCAGTTTCCAGCAGATATCATGTTCTGGATTGTGGATAAGTTTGATGCAGATCCGGAATGTTGTTTTTTTACCTTGAAAAGGGATGAGATGAAGAACATAACACTTGTGCCCATGTCTTAACCTTCTCAATAGTTTTATCTCCATCGTTTCCGAGTTTTAAATCTGTTAAATTTCATTGTTGCCAATGTCATTTACCCTTTTTACACAAAATGGAAAACAAATATATTGCAAAAAAAAAAGGAAGAGAGAGAGAGGCAACTTCTCTCTTGAGGACAGTTTCCATATCCGTATTCATGCAGTTTCCATAGAACATATATTACTCAGTTTGTGTCCGAAAACTTGGAAGTTTGTCTCTTGTCTGATTAGTTTATCTTTCTCGGAAACTTCTTCAGAAAAGATTCTGGAAACTTCCATAGCGGTTCAATGGGAAACACGATCGATTCCTTCTTCTCCGGCTTCTTCAATTCCATCGGAAACCTCTTTCGATCCCCACTTGATTTCCTCTCCGGCAAGTCATGCAGGTAAAAAAATCCCACGCACACGAACCCTAGCCAGAACCGTATCCCCGTTTTCGATCTCTGTTTTGATTTTCGGATTTTCGTTTTCTTTTTCCCGATCCAGCTCTGTCTGTGAATCGCCATGGGATTTCATCTGCTTCGTCGAGCATTTCTGCGTCGCCCATCTGGTGAAAATGGCGATCATCCTCATCTTTTCATATCTCTGTAAGTATGTGTGTGTGTGTGTATATATATCGTATGTTACTTTCCGACATCTTCCATTTGAATGATGATTATTCACAAAACTCAGAAAAGAAATCAGTCTCTCTTTTTCCCCGATTCGTGAAATGCAGTTCTTCTGTTCATCTACGTGTTATACAAAGTGGGTTTCTTCCAGTGCATCGTCCATGGCCTCTGTTCAATCTCATGGGCTTTTCTCTCGTGCTGGTTCTCTTCCTGCAAGTTTTGCCTCACTTTCCTCTGCTCCGACCTCATAAACCCTAACCCTAGACGTCGACACAGAAAACGCCGATCGGAAAACGCGTTTTACGCGGAAGAAGATACGTATTCGCCGCCTCCTCGAAGGTTCGGAACCCGTGGAAGAGAAGAGCGTATGAGAAAGTCGCTTAGGCCGAGGAGCCATCGCGTTAGGGTTTGGGTTCGGAGGAATGGCGATTCTTTGGATCGATACGGCGGTCGAAATCAGGATTATGGATCGGTTCGTGGCATTCGAGTGAGCAGATCGTCTAAATTCGCGCGTAAAGGGTCGAAATATCGACGTCGATGAATCTAAACTTGAGTAGTTTGATCGAAAAAACGAGCTAAGGAAAAACTCCAATTGAGTTGGTTAAGGAGCATGGGAAAAAATCATGAGGTCCAAGGTTCGACTTCTTGCCGCTCCTTGATGCGGGTCTAGAAAAAATTTTAAGTGGGGGTATTTATTTGTATATAATGGGGATAAAATTTATTTTTTTAAAATTGTGTTAAATTTATAAAGAAATTTGTTTTTTTTTAATGTTATGGGGCACATGCCCCCACTGATTACAATATAGGTCTGCCAGTACTCTCACATGTCGCCTATCAGCTACGACTGGTTTATCTCCTATGTGTGTGTTACAGGCTCGTATGCGTGGGTTTGAGGTTTTCTTTGGTCTGCGATGCTGTCTTGATGCCGTTCTCGTCCGACCCATTGGACTGTGAACCGTTACGGTGTCCAGTGTCCGATCCGAAAGGTTGTAGAGCAGGTTCTCCAATGTATAAAAAAAAAGTGTTGGATTTTGTCGTAAATTATTGTGAGTTTATATATAGTCTTTTTTTATAATTCGAAAATTTACCGTATTTTTGGGATAATTATATTTTTAAGATGATCGGATAAATTATATATATATATATATATATATATATATATATAATATTTATAGTAGAGATTTGAATATTCATGTAAGAATTTAAGAAGAGCTATAAATTAGTGTATTTTTTGGAATATTAAAAACATATGTATTTATTTATTTATTTAAAAAAAAACATATGTATTTATTGATAAAATTTAAACGGATTCATTTCTTTATTTGAAATTTTCTCTTTATAATATTTATTTTTTATTTGATTTAGATTTTTTATTATATTAGAAGTTATGGTTATTATTGATATTATCAAAATGAGACTACCTTATATTAAAATCAATTTCTTTCAATTTATCATATGATATCAGAGCGTGTATAACCGATTCTGATTTTGATTTTATTTGGTTTAATTTAATCAACTTAATCATCTATTTTTTTACCTACAAGTTGCAAATATTTGTAAATGAAGGAAAAACGACGAAAACTAAATCTTTTATTTTTATGATATTGTGATTTTATTAGGTTATATTTTAATCTATACATACAAATATGCGTAAAAATTAATTTATAACTGTTGGTCGGAAGATTTCGTCCGTAATCTTTTCCAATGTTAGAGACTCCTAGTCGTTCCGTACAACTGATCCGCCTTGATTAGGTGTCAGACCAATTAAATATTACCACGTCAGGAGCCAGCTGTCACTTTTCCATTTAACCGATAGGCAACAACGATCTCATCACTTTCGTCCACGTGGCGCGTATCCTAGGCCGCCGAAATCATTATTCTACGGAAAAGTTAGTTACCTTCGTGACGTGGCCGAAAGTGGTGGGGCCCACCACGACAGGTGCCAAGTCCATCGCTCGGGGTTCGGTTCAGTTTATTTGCCCAACCAAATTGGAATTTATGGAGCTTTTATTTTTTTTGTTTTTTGAGCTTTCTTTACGAAACCTAACGTTAAAAGCGCTATTATGCCCTTCCATAATATTACAGATATAAACCTATCTTTGATTAATTTTTTTGGACCGACCCACATTCAAACATATATCTCTCTGGCCTACCTATATTCATGAACCGTATTAAATAGTTTTAAACTATTTATCATGACAAATTTATCATAAACTATATTACCATATATGCATATAAGAGTATGTAATCAATATGGTACGTCATATGTATTACGCTAAATGGATCAAGGTTATGTAATTTAAAAACGCATAGAATATATGCGACAAAATGAAAAAAAAAGGAATGTTGAAAGTAAAAATTATATATTGGTACGTCGAAATTATATGAGGTCATAATCTTACATATAATGGTAAATGCTAATAACTTAATCATTAATTTGGTTGAATCTGTTAATAGCAGTCTTAAAACTCATGAAACGCATGCATGTATCACAACTTCGACGCGGTCAACCGTGGGTCTCCTCGTCGATATACCACGTGTCGCATCTATCTCTCATGCATGTCGACGAGCCTTTCAGACCGCTACCGTCCAAACCAGATGACGTAAGCAATGACAAAACCTAATCACTTCGCCGTCCGCCACGTGTCCCTCTCGCCACTTCATCCCCCCGCACTATGAAACCTTTCACCCTCACCCTTTGGCTTAATTTCCAGAAACTCTTTTTCGAGATTCCTCGCCACCGTCCTCTCGACGTGCCACGTGTCCCCTCCTTCCCAGCTTATATATTCGTCTCCTTCCATTGCTCCCGAAGTTTCAAGAGTCTCTGCAGTTCTTCTTTAGTGTAAAGTTAAGAAAGAAGAGGGTGAAAAAGGTAATTACGATGAAGTCTGTGGTCGATTTGCAATTTCCACCTGGTTTTAGATTTCATCCGACGGACGAGGAGCTCGTGCTACAGTACCTTTGCCGTAAATGCGCGTCGCAGCAGATCCCTGCCCCGCTCATCGCCGAAATCGACTTGTACAGACATGATCCTTGGGATCTTCCCGGTAATTTTCCGATCCTTTGAGTAAAAAAATTGAATTTTATTCAATAATTCGATATAGTTATTGATTTTTTTAATTGCAGGTTTGGCTCTATACGGTGAAAAAGAGTGGTACTTCTTCTCGCCGAGGGATAGGAAGTACCCGAACGGTTCAAGGCCGAACCGGTCCGCCGGTTCTGGGTATTGGAAAGCAACCGGAGCTGATAAACCGATTGGTCGGCCTAAACCGGTTGGTATCAAGAAGGCTTTAGTGTTTTACTCTGGAAAACCGCCGAAAGGAGACAAAACCAATTGGATCATGCACGAGTACCGGTTAGCCAACGTGGATCGCTCGATTAACAGGAAAAACAGTTTAAGAGTGAGTACATTTTATGCAAAACCGGAGAAATTGTATGCATGTACCAAACCGGCATTTAGGAAATCGAACCGATTTAGCTTAACCGGATGTGTTTCTGAAACTTTCAGCTGGACGATTGGGTGCTGTGTCGGATATACAACAAGAAAGGCGTGATCGAGAGGCGACCGCAGCCGCAGACGCTGAACGCTATGCCAAACGCACCGCGATGGATCGAAAACGCGATCGAGGAGGTGGAGAACAAGCAAGTGTTTCCTATGACAGACACGTGTCCACTGGTCGTACCGGGTCCAATACACTTCGACACATCGGATTCCGTACCGAGGCTGATGGCGGATTCCAGCTGCTCGGAGCACGTGGTGTCTCCGGAGTTCACGTGCGAGGCGGAGAGCGAGCCGAGATGGAGGAGGGAAGATGATCAGTGGGCGAATACCCTCGAGTTTCGTGGTAATTACGGAGATGCCACTGGGGGGACGGCGGCGGAGAACGACTTGGCTTCGTTGTCACGGCTCATGAGCGGGAATCAGATGTGGGCAGTGCAGGATATGCTCGTGGTCCCGGAGGGAACGTTCTGAGTATTTGGCACGTGCGAGTCGCAGACACGAGACAAAGTTTTACACACCTCGACGCGCGGGGCGTCGGGTGGACACGGTGAACCCTCTGGATGAACTAGGAGGTCTCTCTCGGTCCGAGCGAATACAATAGCGACACGTCACATAGGTGTGAATGGAGGAGAAAATAAAGGAAATGACGTGGGATGAGTGGGAATAATATATTTTTTTGATAAATAAGTCGAAATAATATTGTTAAGGATGAAAATGTAGTATTTTTATTAGCCAATAATAACCAAATAGCATCAGTTGAAAGCAAAGATATATATCCACATCATATTTAATCGATTCTTGTTGAATTTCTTGATAAATTATGCTTTATATATATATATATTTGTTTTAGTAATATAAAACGTTACAAAACCAAAATATATAAGATCATACACTAATTATTGGGTTTGGCTTTAAGTTTAAGGTATTACTAGATTAGCACTCAAATCATCTTGTTTTCAGCATCACTAAATTTCATCTTACTTAAATTAATTTATATAAAATTTTAAAAAATAAACATTAATTATATGTCGAATTCCATATAATATATTTGCCCAGTTATTTTATTTTTACCTTTTACTATCGAGCAATGTAAAAGGCTTCAAAACCAAAAATATATAGATGACACAAAAAATTTAAAAAAAAATGGGCATGGGTTATATTGTGGACCCTAAGATACATTGGGCTAAGATAAATTTAATTGGGCCGTCACTTATTGGGCTTCTATAGTTTCTATCATTAGATATTTTATAATAATATATACACAAAAATACACATCGGATAATATATATATATATATGTGTGTATCGACGTGTGGGAGTACGGATGTCATGTCTAGCTCGAGATCCGATTTTAGTGCATGTGTCGTATGTGAACATGTTGGCGATGGCGGGGTCCCACGAATAACAGTCTCTCTTCTCGCACGATCAAAACAAATTTTTTTTTTTTTTTTATGTTTTCCATTTTCATTTCAATCGTTTTCTCACCATTATTGCGTCGAAAAACAGTACAGATTTAAATGATTTAATTCATATAAAGTATCAACTTATTTTAATAATATATATATATATATATATTAATTATTTTTAATTTAATCATATTTCGTATTCTTATTATATATATATATATATATATGTTCGTGTTTTCAAATTTATAAATTAAAATTTAATTTCAAAGCATTTTATTCCGATCTATAATTTAATCATATTTCGTATTCTTATTATATATATATATATATATATGTTCGTGTTTTCAAATTTATAAATTAAAATTTAATTTCAAAGCATTTTATTTTGGACGATTTGTATGAGTTTGTAATGTGTTTTTTTTATGAAAGAGTTTGTAGTGTGTTGTTGGCTAGAAAGTTAAAATATAGGCGTAATTAAATGATATTGGACTTACGTTATATTTAATTTTTCAAAAAAAAACTGTAATGCTTCGATGTTATATATATATATATATATACATATATTTATAGTAAGTATGGGGTCAAGAATTATTATTTTTTTAATATACAAAATTGGACAGATTCGAGGAAGTGGGGCTCTAGTCCATGTTAGGTGTGTTTGTTGTTGCTCTTACAAGTTTCACTTTCAATTCAAAACCACTTTTGATATGGGCCTTTACCAAATAAATTAAAATTAAATTGAAAATTGTCATATATATATATATATATATATATATATATTTCAAATCATCATCACCATGATTACCAATAAGATATTTATAGATGCGTATCTTAATCAAACATATATTAATATAAAACTCGTAAATTAATAATTTAACTTTTAAGAATTTGGATTAATATATAGTCTAATACACCATTTTTTTAAATTAAAAATTGATCACTGTTCTAAAGTAATAACAAACAGTAATTTAAATATATAATTATCAAGATTCATTTTTTTTATATTAAAGTTACATTAATATATTCGTTTTTTATTTTTTATCTACTGTATATATATACATTGTTAAAATTGTATGGATACATGATGATCAAATTTGTAAAAGAAATATACAATATGACAATTGGTCAATCTTTTATCAGTGTAAAGTATAATATACCCAATAATTCATTTGATAAATTCAATATAGTATATAAGCTCCATTATGTTATATGATAAATGAGTGGTCCTTTACAATTCATGCACTATATATATATATATGTATATATATTTGTTTGTTTTGTAGTTTCGGATAACAAAAAACTGAGTGGTAGATCCAAGGATCCCGCGGCTCGATTAACCAGATTCGTCACGGAATCTTTCTATGTCTATGTTAACACATATATATATATATATATATATA